TATAGAAAAAAAGTAGTTTAAGAATCTGAATAGATAGTATTTTCTTTATCTTTCAAAAAAGTTTTGTAGAAATAATATAAAACTAGAGATATGAAAAAATAATTTTATAAAAAAGAAAAAAAAAATAATAATTAAACTAAAACAAAGCAAGGCTAAGAAGAAGAAACTAAGAATGAGAATCTAAACAAATAAAGATAGAAAGATACTATTTGTAAAAAAAAAAAGAGAATAGAAAAAAATTTAGATAGAAACATTAGTAGAAGAAGTAATAAAAAAAAAAATAAAAGTAAGAGATATAAGTTGATAGAGTTTTTTTTTGAATTAATTAAACCAAATTGTATTAGCTATTAAATTAGCATTACAAATTATACTTGAGTACTTTAGTAGTAGCTAAGTAATATCAAACTTAAGAAATTAGATAGATTATATAATCATATACAACTTAGCTATAGCTATAGTTAATAACTTAAAAAAGTTTATAATGTAACTGTTAAAGAAAAAAAAATATAAGATATAGGAAAAAAATAAAAAGTAAAAGAAGAAGTTAGATATTATAAACTAACTTAAAAAATAATTACTAAAAAAATAGTTGAATATTATAAGCTAACTAAGAAAAAAAAGTTTTGTTTTAAAAAAATAATTTTAAGAAATCAAAAGAAACTATTATTTATAAAAAAAATTATAAGTTAAGAAACTTATATTAAAGAAAAGAAGAGACTTAAGAACTTATATTAAAGAAAAAAAGAAGTTGAGAACTTATTCTGCTTTAAAAAAAATAGCAAGATTTATATAGCTTTTTAGATATACTTGATACTTTTCTGCTACACAATAAGTAGGAATTTGGCTTACTTTTTTTAAAAGATCAATATTTGTATACTTTTATTTTAGGAATAATCATATTAATCTACTAAATAATAATAATATATATATCTTAGCCAAATAGTGAATTATGCTTAAATATATATTTAGATTAGAGGCACAAAAACAGAGTATGTATTTAATAACAACAAATTAGATTTAATATGAAAATTATTTATTATTAGAAATATATTTTAGTAGCTATTTTCATATAATCTCTAGTTATAGATATACAATTTTTATATAGTATTTTAGAAGCAGAATACTACTTCTTTGTTCCTTTTTTTCTCTTTTTTTTTTTATTTTACTACAAAGTATTTTTTATATATTACATATTTTCTCTTTGTAGTTTTATTATATGACACATAGCCTTAGTATCTTTTGTTATATATAATTATATTTTTTTTATATCTTTTTGCTATACAAAAAACTATTATCAGTTTGATAGTAGTCTATTATATAGGCAAGAATTATGATAGGCTATAATATTTGCTTAAATTATTAATATTTTTTTAAAAGATTAAATATTAATAAGAAGAAAAAAGATTAATATAGCAGATCATATATAGATACCTATAGGATAACTGAATGAAACAATATTTAAAAAATTATAAATTAGATATATAGAGTATAGATTACTTTGTAACTATATATATATTTTTTTTTTTTTTGTTGTTAAAGCAGCTTATATTGCTGAAAGAATTTTATTAGTGTTGTTAACAGGATTATACATTGATAATCTCTACTATTTGTAATTATATGAAGAATATACAACAAGCTACATGTATAACTTTAGTTATTGTCTATTTTAAGTAATCTATTGCACAGACATTAGACTATCTAATTGGTTCTATACTATGCTACTATACCTGTAACCTGCCTATAAGTTAACTATTTAAACACTCTGTTCATTAATCTATACAGATCTAACTTAATATTACTGCAATACCTAATTACTTAAGCTAGCTAGCTCATTATAAATTCATTTATTCAGAATGGCTTAGGTTCTCTCAGAATACATTATATTAAATATATTACTAGTATTGCAAAGCTAGTTAATCTCAAAGCAAACCTATTAGAGCAGTCTGTACTTATTTTATGAATTTATCTAGCTTAAACTTTTGTAAATATTCATACAACTCTAGGTTCCACTATAGTCTTCTATCAGTTAGTTAATTTAGTCTTTTTCTAATATTTAGCTAGTTCTAGTTACCTTTTGTCTAGAGACCTCAAAACCTTTTACTTTTATTAGACTGAATTTTTTTCTCAGATTAGACTTTAGCTGATGTAGTTCTGTTAAAAGGCATATTACTTCACTGACTTTGAATTTTTACTATACAGATCCTCTATTTGTATATCTTATCAAGATTTATTTATGTAATATTATACTATATTTCTAAGTTATAATTGATTTGATGCAACTTAATTTACAGAGGTATATTCTAAAAACAAACAGGATTTACTATAACATATCATAAGGTCTGAGAATTTATTCAAATTTGTCGACAGTAGGATTTGAACTTTAGACTTATTATATAGTAGTTTAATAACCTAACTACTATATTAGATTACTAGACTTTGTAACTATGTATTTTAATTAGTATTTATTAAGACATAATACAAATAAAGTATTAGTATGACCTGCTGAAAAGTTTAAAAAAAAATTTGTTTTTTGATGTAACAATTTTTAGTAATATTTTTTTTTGTTATTAAGATAGTTTATATTTCTAAGTGAATTTTATTAGTTTGATATATAGAGTTATATATAAGTAATTTTTTATAGTTTGTAATTATATGAAGAGTATATAACAAGCTACATATACAACTTTAGTCATTATCTAATTTAAGTAGTTTATTATACAGATATTAGACTATCTGTTAGTACTATACTATATTGCTATATCTGTAACTTGCTTGTGAATTACTAATTTAAATACTCTTTCAACTAATTCATATCATTACAAACTAATATCACTATAATATCTAACTTCTTATACTAGCTAGTTTATTGCAGATCTATTAATTAACTTTAGCTTAGATTTTCTTAAGTTATATTATATTTAATATATTATAAATATCTGCAAAGCTAGTTAAGCTTGAAGCATATCTACTAGAGTAGTTTATACATATTTTATAAATTCACTTAGTTTAGATCTTTGTAATATTCATATGATCTCAGTTTCTACTGTAGCTCTCTACTAGTATATGTTTTCTAATCTTGCTAAAGCTTATTACAAGTTAGATCTTCTCAATTCAGTTAGATATTAAACCAAATTAGTGTTATTATAATATATAGTGATTATTACTATAATACAAACTTATATATATTTAACCTAATTAACATTTTTAAGCATAGTCTCTTTCTAAATTAAGTATTAGCTAATATAACTATCAAAAGCTGAACTATTTCACTAACTTAAAATTTCTACTATATGATTCCTTGCCTATAGATTCTATTAAGATTTATTCATATAATATTATGTTTCTTTAAATATTGTATCATACTTCTAATATTCAGATAATATTAGTACAATGTGATTTACAAGATTACAACTCCAGAAACAAACAGAGTTTACTATAAGTTGGATACAAAGGTCTAGGTAATTATTCAAATTTGTTAATAGTAGAATTTGAACTTCAGATCTCTTGTATAGTAGTCTGGCAATCTAACTACTATACTAAGATTATAAGACTTTTCTTTAGCAATTTTTTAAAATATTACTATTCTTAAAAAATATACAAAATTTTATAAAAAGTTTTTTTATTAACTGTTTTTTGTTTTTTTTTTTATAAAGCTATTTTTTATTCTCTAAATCTACTATATCTAGATATATTTTCTAATCTTAAAGCTTTTTTTTATAGTATGCTATAAGATGTTTCTTAATAATAGATAAGTTTAGTAAGTTTTCTATAACTAAACTTTTAGCTCAAATTTGTATTTAAATGATCTATAAGAAGAGTTTAAATAATTTAACTATTCTATTATCTACTACTTTTCTATAGTATTTACAAATTATATTCAAATAATATGTTTAAAAAAAAACTTCAATAAAAGTTAAAAAAAAAATATTGTTATTTATTATAACAGAAAAATTTTTTTTACAAATCATTAAAGAATTAACAAAAAAAGTTAATTAAATTTAAAATTAGATATAATTTAAAATTTTTGTTTTTTTGTTTATTTTTTCAAAAAAATAATAATATCTCAAAATTTCACTTATGAAACTACTCTTGTAGCTCTAATTAAAAAAAATTACTTGCTAAATTTTGCATATATTAATACTAGATAAAATCTCAAGCCTCACTCTAACTCTAAAATAATCAAAAGTTATTTTTTATTTTATTTTTTTCGCTTTTATTACACAAATTTGCAAATTCATAGTAATAGAATTCTTATAGTAATAAAAAAATTTTAATATAGACGCAAATCTTTAACTCTTCGATCAATGTTGTATATTTTTTGATAGTATTAAAAATTTTTTTAAAACTATCTAACTAAATTAGATGAATTTTAAAAAAAATTGAAAATTTACTTAATTTACACTAAGTGTTTGTACACTAGTACATATCAGATATTATTTTTAATTTATGTAAATCGTAAACTATTCTATTTGTACACTAGTGTACGCATACACATATGGGGTCTTTGCCTTGAAAATGACCTTACGGGACATAGTAAATCATATGATCCAAACTTGATTTTCAAGGCAAAGACCCCATATAATCAATATCTCAAAATTTCGCCTACGTATAAAACTGCTTTTGGGACTAATAAAAAAAAAATTCCTTGCTAAATTTTGCATATATCTAATGCCTAGATAAAACCCCAGGCCCCACCCTAACCCTAATCTTAATCAGAGTTTATTTTTTATAAAAATTGAAATTCTCTTAAAAATTTTACGCCATACGTACTAGTATAATTCCATACGTACTAGCGCTAGTATAATTCCTTAAGCCAAATTCTAAATGACGTAGTTTGTGTAAGATACTCATCCTAATTGTTTCTTTACATAGAGATAGTATTATCTCCTATATTAGAAATGATAATCTTATTATAGCATGATTCTGTATATGCGACATATCTTTATTAATGAATGCTATAAAGTCAACTTTGCAAAAAATTAAGGCTTTTTCATAAAAAAATGTGTGGAATTTTTGCATACCTTAACTATCTTAATGTGAAGGACAGAAAGACGATTATTGACATCATTATAAATGGGTTGTCTCGTCTAGAATACCGTGGTTATGACTCAGCAGGAATAGCCGTGGACGGCGAGAGTTCCGATGAAGTTTATCTCTTCAAACAAGTAGGAAAGGTTGCCGCCTTAAAAAAACTAGTATCAGAGCAGAAAATTGACTTTGAAAAACAGTTTGTTAATCACTGTGCTATGGCTCATACTCGTTGGGCTACTCACGGTCAACCTTCAACGACTAATTCTCATCCTCACCGATCTGATCCAAAGAATGAATTCACCGTGGTTCACAATGGCATTATCACAAATTATAAAGAATTAAAAACCTTTCTAGAGAATAAAGGTTATCACTTTGAATCTGATACTGATACGGAAGTTGTTGCTAAACTTGCTAAGTATATTTATGATACCCGAAATCCTAATCAACCCTTAAGTTTCACCGAACTTGTCAAAGGTGTTATTAAAAAATTGGTAAGGTTCTTATTTATGTAGTCATTGTATATAATGTTATTAATTTAAATTGAATTACGTTCATTCTTAGGAAGGTGCATTTGCCTTGATCTTTAAGAGTATTCATTATGAACACGAAATGGTAGCAACGCGGCGCGGCTCTCCTATTTTGGTTGGTGTTAAAACTGCGAAAAAATTAAAAGTAGATTTCGTTGATGTCGAATTTGGTACTGTACATGTAAACAATCTTAATAAATTATTTAGTTATATACGTGATTAATTTTTTCACAATCTAATTGAAAAATTCTATTATACTTTTGAAAAAAAAAAGAGGAAAAAATTCCAGATACTCTTGATACAGGAAACAGCCTAATGCCTCCTACGGATGGTGTACCAAAACTCAGGCATAGTCAATCGCGTACTTTTCTAAGCGAAGATGGACTTCCTCAGCCTATTGAATATTTCTTCGCATCTGACCCTTCCGCTATCGTAGAACACACAAAGCGTGTTCTCTATCTTGAAGATGATGATATTGCTCACATCAGTGAAGGAGGTATTGTTTGCTAATCATATTTTTGTATTTACTCATTGTATAGTGTTAAATTACAGTATTAAACATGCATTTTTTAAATAGACTTACAAATTCACCGTTTAAAAAGCAATGATGGAATGTCAGCTGTTCGTTCTATCGAAACCTTAGAATTAGAATTAGCCAAAATTATGAAAGGTTCTTTCGATCACTTTATGCAAAAGGAAATTTATGAACAACCTGAATCAGTGGTCAACACTATGCGTGGTCGTGTCAACTTCGATAGTTATAAGGTTACTCTCGGCGGTCTCAAAGCATATTTGGCAACAATTAGAAGATGTAGACGTATAGTATTTAGTGCTTGTGGTACTAGTTATCATTCGTGCTTGGCCGTACGTATATTTAATTAGTAATATTTCAGTAAAAAGTTAAATAAGTAATCCTAGTTCTTATCCATATCAGACTCGAGCTATTTTTGAAGAATTAACGGAGATTCCTGTTTCTGTGGAGTTGGCTAGTGACTTTTTGGATAGAAAGTGTCCTATATTTAGAGATGATGTTTGTGGCACACGAATTGTCTCATATTGAACTTCTATGCCATCATCTCCTTCATTGCAGATAATGATTGGTTTACCCTTGCGAGCTGGTGAATTGAAACATGGGCCCTTGGCACTTATCGATTCGGATATGCCTGTTATTCTTATTATGACTAAGGATTCTTTATACTCG